CCGAGATAGCACCAAAAACCAATACACCAGGAAGGACATGGTACCTACCCCATTTTGATATTCACAACCCGATGAAGCCAGAAAAGTTCAGAATAGTGCATGATGCCGCAGCCAAAACAAAGGGGGTGGCATTGAACGACTTCCTGCTCACGGGTCCAGACCTACTGCAGTCGCTACCAGGGGTCATGATGCGTTTTCGTCGCCATAACGTCGCTGTCTCGGCGGACATAGCTGAAATGTTTATGCAGGTCAAAGTTAGACCCGAAGACAGAGATGCCTTAAGATATCTCTGGAGAGGGAATCGACGTAATAAGGCACCCCAAGAATACAGGATGACGTCGATTATTTTCGGTGCAGCTAGTTCACCCTGCACAGCCATATACGCAAAAAACTGGAATGCTAAAAAATACGTTGAAAAATACCCAGAAGCCGTAGAGGCGATCATCCAAAATCATTATATGGATGACTATCTTGACAGTTTCCAGTCAGTAGAAGATGCGATGAGAATATCAAAGGAAGTACGCGATATACACAAAAACGCGCACTTCACCTTAAGAAAATGGGTTTCCAACGCGCCCGAAATTGTGAGAGAATTGGAACCTGACCGCGAGGCAACTGAGTCAGTTGACCTGAGCAACAAGGAAAACGAAGAAAAAATACTCGGACTAATCTGGAAACCGAGTACCGATCAGCTGAGCTTCAATCTAAAGCTCGCTCGACTTCCGATCGATGTGCTCCATAAAAAACCAACCAAGAGGGAAGCACTCAAAATAGTGATGTCGCTGTATGACCCGCTCGGCCTCGCCTCCCCAGTTACAATTCGAGCAAAGCAAATACTGCAGGAAGCATGGAGACGAGGAACAGACTGGGACCAGGAGTTGGACGAAGACCTAACTGAACAGTGGTCCGCGTGGATCCAACACCTGGAACGACTTAAATTGGTAAACATACCAAGATGCTACCCAGGATTCAGCGACGCATGTTCACTACAAGTCCACGTGTTTACCGATGCCAGTGAGAGCGCCTACGCAACGGCAGTATACTGGAGGGCAATGACACCTGATGGGAAGGTACACGTGAGCCTCGTCATGGCCAAGGCGAAGGTAGCCCACTCAAAGTAACATCCATACCTCGCCTTGAGTTACAAGCCGCCGTGATGGGAAGTCGCGTAGCTGCCGCCGTCATCCAGGAGCATCGCGTAAAGCCCGAAGCTGTCACATATTGGACTGACAGCAAGACTGTCCTCACATGGATACAAAAGGGGTCCAGAACTTATAAACCTTTTGTTGCGCACCGAATAGCAGCAATCGAGGACAATTGTAAAGTAGATGACTGGCGCTGGGTACCTACCAAATTGAACATAGCTGACACCGCTACGAGGGACGTACCGCCTAACTTCGACTCAAATCATGAGTGGTACAGCGGCCCATCGTTTCTGTACAAAGAACCGTCAGCATGGCCGACCGAAAGACCCACGTCATCCGAACCCACCGGTGAGGAAAAATGCCTCACCATTACAGAATCACATAGAGCTCCAGTAATAAGAGAAGCCATCCCAAATCCAGCAAAATTTTCGAAATGGGAACGCTTGTTGCGAGCGACGGCCAGAGTGCTTCAATTTATTACACTCTGCCGTAAAACAACAGACAGAACCTTCTACAAAAGAACTAGAAGGAATGAAGAAAAAGATCCCGACTGGAGGAAAGCAAAAAACAATCCGCAACACCGCACACAGTCCTCCAGTCTAAGAAAAACCGCAGATGTCAAAAGGCACATCACACTCGAGGCCGAATTCATCAGAGAGGCCGAAAGGCTCCTAATACGTGTCATACAAGAGGACTCCTTCAGACAAGAAATAGACGATCTCCGTAACGATAAAAGGGTCGCCCATAATAGCCGCCTAAGACCACTACAGATAGAATTAAAAGACGGGATCATCGCGCTGCGAAGTCGCATAGCCGCCGCGAAGGGAGTCTCGAAGGATATGAAAGGTCCGGCTATATTGGATGGTGATCATTACATCACCCAATTGTACATAGACTGGACGCATCGTAGCCTAAATCATTGCGGAACCGAACCTACAATTAACGAGGTTCGACAACATTACTGGGTCATAAGACTTAGACCCACGACGAAAAAGATAGTGAGCCAATGCGTGCCATGTCGCATCAGAAAGGCGCAACCATCTGTGCCAGCCACCGGTGATCATCCCAGCACACGTCTCGCTCATCACCAGAGACCGTTTACTTTCACCGGTCTGGACTATTTTGGGCCACTCTCCGTCACAGTTGGACGGCAACATCAGAAAAGATACGTGGCTCTATTCACCTGCCTCACATCTAGAGCTGTTTATTTGGAAATTGTTGCAAATCTCAGCGCAGACTCCGCAATATTAGCTTTGAGAAGATTTGCAGCGCGCCGAGGGTGCCCCACCGAAATTCATTCAGATAACGGCACCAACATGCACGGCGCGGATAAAGAATTGCGGGAGGCTTTTAAAGAAGAAGCCAGCCGACGAGGCATAGTGTGGCGTTTTATTACCCCCTCCGCGCCTTTCATGGGAGGGGTATGGGAACGTCTCGTACGATGCGTGAAGACGGCACTATACACCGTCCTTCACGAAAGACATCCACAAGAAGAAGTCTTAGCCACGCTGCTCTGCGAGGTGGAGTATACAGTAAACAGTAGACCACTAACTCACATCTCCGTGGACAGCAACGACAACGAATCCATCACTCCAAACCACTTCCTATTGGGAGGATCAGCAAGACTGCCGACACCGGGGGTATTCAATGAAAAGGACATAAATAGCAAAAGGCACTGGCGACGCTCTCAGATACTCGCTGATATGTTCTGGCAGCGTTGGGTGCGAGAGTATCTACCGGAACTCCAAAACCGGCGGGAGGCCCATGGTCGAGGCCCCGATCTCCAGGTGGGCGATCCAGTCCTCATAGCCGACGGCCAGTTACCTCGTAACACCTGGCCGCGAGGAAGAATTGAAGCAGTATTCCCCGGTGCGGAAGGACAGATCCGCACTGTGGAGGTACGAACCGCGAACGGCCTAATCAAGAGGCCAACCAAGAAACTCGTGCCGCTGCCGAAGTAGAAGCAACGTCGCTCACCGAAATGGATGCAGCGCCACTACGATGAGATCTTCGCGACGCTGCACGGCGGGAGAGATGTTCGCGACCGTTTAAAGACTTTAAGCAAAAAGTGATTAAAGAATATTAAATTGTTTTAAAAAGTGAAATTAGCGACAAAATCGAACAAATTGTGTTTTAATATAGTTTTACAGTATGTTTACAACTCGTAATATATTTGTATAAAGTATCGTTTTAATAATAAGTTGATATAAACGACTTTAAACATTAAATAAAATTTCGACCAATCACAGCGCAGCATATCGTGGAACTTTCTAGAAGTTAATTAACTGCGCAATAGTTTATATGAAAATAATGAGAATATTTTTATGTTCTGAAAGAATTGTAAATACGATATTTAGTTAGCATATGGTGTATAGATTGAAATAAGTAAATAGATAATTTGTGTAAATAAACGCATTTGATAAATATAGTAAAATTAAAGATTTAATGTGCACTTTTGTTATGCAAATTAGGTACATTTTGATTAATAACTTTTTTGAATGTAAATATATCAAGTAACCCTTATCACATAATGATAAAGGACCAAAATGCCTATTTTATAGTGTATAGCGTGTTAATGTAAAAATTAGCATTATATAGAAAAATTGCGATTTGTGCAAATTACGTAATGAAAATGTTTGATAATAAAAAGGCAAAACCGGAAATTGGCAAGCGGCTCTCTATAGAGTATAGCCGAAGTCTACCTTATGGGGGCAAATCACAGTAACATTGTAGTAGGAAGAACTACCAGTAACAAGCAGTAGTATCCGGTAGTAGCTGAAGTGACTAGTAGCAGAACACAGTGAAAAGTTAAAGTGAAATAGAAAAAGTTTAGCTAGCCGAAAAAGGTCGTAACTGAAAAATCGCAGTTACACATAGTCGAAAAAAGTGGCAACTGAAAATTCTCAGTTGCATATAGTAAAATAGTGTTAGCTAGCTGAAAAGAGTGGTAACTGATATTCGCAGTTACATATAGTGAAAAATGTTAGCTAGACGGAAAAAGTGTTAAATTCAACTAATTTTAGTTGATTAATAGCTGCTAGTCAGTAGTGTTAGATAACCAGCTGCTACCAATAGATATTTTGGATACTACCAATAGAAATTTGTTACTTCCAATAGATATTCAAAATTACCAATAGAAATAGTAGAAAATACCAATAGAAACTTGTTACTGCCAATAGAAATTTGATATTACCAACAGATATTTTGAAAATACGAATAGACATTTTAATAATACTGTGTGTTTAATTAAATCTGTGTTTTGAAATATATAGTGAACAACCATAGTTAAAAAACAGTGTTAAATAAATAAATAAGTTATAATATTTCACAACTAATTAATCAGTCGAACCGCTGGCCACTCCCTTGCTATTTTAATTTATAAATCGTGCATTTTTAATTCTGAACCTCAGTCCACAGTTCTCCAACAGCATACACAAAGGCGGTAGTGAAAGTATCCATCTGAACCTATAGGTGTAGGACGTGAGCGGCTCGCGGAGTATCTTCGACAAGATTTACTCCGGAGAGTTACGCCCGTCCGGCACAGAATGTATGTATATATATCTGTAGATACCACACCTGGTTTATTTTTTTTAAATGATTGTAATTTTACGTATTACAGAGACCGAAAGGTAAAGTAAATTATATTCAAGCTTAGTCCGAGATAACTTGGTAGTATCGTCTACACCTTGCTCGATGAACGCGTCCTTTTAGAGTAGATCTAAAACAAAAAAGTTGCAACACGAACGCAACCTAACGCTTCTCGAATGTCATTCGTTTTACCGCGTTTGATGAACGATCATCCATTTGCAATTGAAAAAGTTTTGGTGCAATTTATTCTGGTTACGTTGGTTTAAAATGCCTATAAGACGAAGCGAGTCAAAAGAAGAACGTTTAGAAAGGAAGTTGAACAAATATAAGAAAAAATATGAACGTTGTAAAAGACGTAAAGACGAACATTCAAAAGATAATAGAAACGAAAATGTTGTTGGCGATATTGGTAAGTCTGTTTTTATCATGACTCAATTTATTATAATTAATAAATTGTATTATGCGGAACTTTATGGATATATAATATTTCATTAAAATAAAACAAAAAGTTTTAAAAGATCATTAAAATTAGCATGTAGACCGCCAATGTTTTTCTAAAAAATTTAAAATGAGGTTTACTTATCCTCAATTTTACCATCCAAAATTTTATGTGTATAAACTTTTGAGACTATCCCGTGGGGCATAGTCACGACTTTCCCGTGGGGATTAGTCGACCAGACATAATATGCCTGGATACAAATGTCACAAATTTGTAAAAGCGAGTGTCACTTTTGACTTATCCCGTGGGGATAATAGTCATGCCATACCATTTAATATGGTATGGCTCTTAAAGTGAGTGTCACTATTAAACCATTATATTGGTACTATAGCAATTGAATATCATTAATTTATGGGCATTACATCTGTAAACAAAGGGGGGAGAGAAATGAAGGCATAAATAAGAAAATTAGCATAATACAATACTACTATAATTATAAAATTTCAGTGGAAAGTATTGAATCAGAAGAGGAGATTATTCTGGAAAATAATGAACCAGAGGAGGAGGAGGAGGTGGAAATTATGGAAGTTAAAGAAGAACATTATAGAAGCCATGGGTCCACCGATTAGTACTGAATCTTTATATGGTCAACCAATACATCCGGAGATTTATAAAAGGGTCGAAGGTATTTTGATGGAAGGCTTGACTAATGAAAAAATTGAAACATATAAAAAAGAGCAACTAATACCGGAAAATACCATTTTGTTAGAGGCACCACTACTGAATCCTGAATTACACATGATACAGGAGTCAGTAAAAACAAGAGATAAAAAAATTGAGAACCGCCAAAATTTATTAGGATTAGCCTCAGGCACAATATTAAAATGTGTTGATAATTTAACCAAACAAGATTTTAATAAATTAGATATCATAAAAAACATGACAGAGGCGGCCAGGATTCTAGCCCACCTCCATTCAGAAGATACGGCAATAAGAAAAAATTTGTTAATACCTCACTTAGATAAAACCATATCTAAGACTCTTGCGGATCTCAAACGGGATAAATTCTTATTTGGAGAGAAATTGAGTGAATGTGTAAAGAGTGCAACAAGTTTACAAAAATCTGCTTCAAATCTTCTAAAGAAATCTATTCCAAAACCCTTTAAGCCAAGGCAAAATTCTTCTACAAAAAACTACTATCCCCCTCAACATCAAGGGAACCAGAGGAAGATGTTCAGGGGAAATCAAAATTTTCAACGGCCGGCAACCAAGGTCCAAGCACCGGCAGTGACTCGCAGCCATCCTCACAAACAAAAGAATTACAGACAACAACGTGCCAAATACCCATAGAGGTAACACATTTTGCTGGTCGAATTAAACACTTTTATAACTGTTGGAATAAGCTTACAAATCATAACACTATTTTATCATGGATACAGGGCTATAAAATCCCTTTTATTGATAATCCAACTCAAAATTGCTTACCACTGAATGATAAGTTGTCAGGTTTAGAAGATAGGATTATGTCTATAGAAATTAAAAAGTTAATGAAATTACATGCTATTTCACACTGTACTCATGTAAAAGGTCAATATTTATCGAATATTTTTTGTATTCCAAAGTCTGATAAATCACATAGATTTATTTTAAATCTTAAGCCCCTAAATAAATTCATAAATCCTCCACACTTCAAATTAGAAGATATTCGTACCTTATGCAAATTAGTGCCTAAGGACAGTTATATGTGTACATTAGATATACAAAATGCATACTATTTAATTAGTATTCATGATGATTTCAGAAAGTTTTTACGATTTAAATATAAAGGAATTCTGTATGAGTTCAATTGTTTACCATTTGGATTGTCTACTGCACCATATACTTTTACAAAATTATTAAAACCAGTAGTAGAACATCTCAGAAGTCAAGGCCTCATAAATGTTGCCTATTTAGATGATCTTAATTGCATAGGACTCTCTTATGCAGAGTGCCTAGACAATGTTCATAAAACTGTAAATTTACTCCAGTGTTTAGGTTTTATAATTAATATGAAAAAGAGTAATTTAATTCCATCACAAGAAAGAGAATATTTAGGTTTTGTCATAAATACACAAAAAATGATAATAAAACCCACAGAAAATAAAAAGAAATCTTTATTATCTGCAATACATAAATTTCTTAAATTAAAATACTGTTCTATTAGAGAATTTGCTGCCTTGGTAGGTAGTTTTGTATCTATATGTATGGCAGTATCTTATGGATTTGTATACACAAAAATATTTGAGAGGGAGAAATACGAGTACATAGCTTTACAGAGATCAAATGGAGACTATGAAAAACAAATGAAAATAAATGAAAATGTGAAGTTAGATTTATCATGGTGGCAAAATAAGATTAATACCGCATATAATCCAATAAAACAGTATCAGTTTATATTAGAAATTTGGTCAGACGCTTCTAGTACGGGTTGGGGAGTACACTGTGATGGTAAAGTGGCACGAGGTTTTTGGTCCATTCAAGATAAACAAAATCATATAAATTATTTAGAACTCTTAGCAGCATACTTTGGCTTAAAATGTTTTGCAAAAGACTTAAAAAATTGTGAAATATTATTGAGAGTTGATAATACAACTGCAATTTCATATATTAATCGTATGGGGGGAGTTCAATATCCTAAGCTTAACAACTTATCTCGATTATTGTGGCAATTTTGTGAGAAGAGAATGATATGGGTTTTTGCCTCTTACATTAAATCAAAAGACAATAAAGAAGCAGATTTTGAGTCTCGAAATAGGAATATAGATGCTGAATGGGAACTATCAGTTGATAGTTTTAACAGGGTGGTTACAATGTTTGGCCAGCCAGACATTGACCTTTTTGCATCTAGGATTAATACAAAATGCATTAAATATGTGTCATGGCAAAGAGATCCAGAAGCCTGGAATATAGATGCATTTACATTAAGATGGTCTGATTTCTACTTTTATGCATTTCCACCATTTTCAGTTCTTTTAAAAACAATTCAAAAAATTAAGAATGAAAAGGCAAGGGGCATCATTATTTTCCCTGTTTGGACTGCTCAGCCCTGGTATCCTATGATGAAATCAATGATAGACTCGGAAGTAATTTACTTTCCACCTTCATTAGAACTCTTATCTTCTCCTTTCAGGACACCTCACCCACTACATGCACAACTTACCCTGGGGGCATGCATATTATCAGGACAGCGTTCCAACTAAATAAAACCCCGGAGTCAGCATGTGATTTGATGTTAGCATCTCTGTCCTCAAATACATTAAAACAGTATAATACATGTTTAAAACAGTGGTGGCATTACTGTATGCAAAACAATCATGATATCTATAGGGCATCAGTGACATATATAATAACATACTTAACAGAGTTATATAATAAAGGGTGTAGTTATCAGACCCTTAATTGCCATAGATCAACTCTTTCCTTAATAATAGGATCACATCTGGGAACAGATGAAACAATAAAAAGGTGGTTTAAAGGAGTATATAGGCTTAGACCACAAACTCCAAAATATAGTGTGACATGGGAGCCTTCAATAGTCCTAAATTTTTTGCAAAAATTGTATCCACTTGAATCACTTGCCTTAGATAAACTTACCAAAAAATGTGCTATGTTGATTGCACTCAGCACTGGGCAAAGGATACAAACACTATCTTTAATTAAATTGAGTGATGTAAATGTGACTGAGACACATGTTACAATACTGGTTTCAGACTTACTTAAAACATCGGCTCCTGGAAGACAACAGCCAATGTTAATCCTACCATATTTTAAAGAAAAGCCTGAGATTTGCCCAGCAAAAACTTTGTTATTTTACATTGATACCACTAAAAAATTAAGAGATCAGGATGGAAGTACACAAAATATTTTTATAACATTTAAAAAACCGTATAGAGCAGCCACATGTCAAAGCATAAGTAGGTGGCTTAAACAAGTAATGAGCGAAAGTGGTATTGATACAAGCACATTTACTCCACATTCAACTAGACATGCCTCAACGTCTAGTGCTCTAAGACAAGGACTTACAATAGATAACATATTGAAGACAGTTGGATGGTCAGAAAACTCTCAAACATTTGCAAGGCATTATAATAGACCTCTGTTAAATGATAATCACCTGTTTGCAAAAACAGTATGTAGGACAAACTCTACTTGATTAAAATTTAGTTTGAAAAAATATTTGTAATTTACATATAATTACTACTTAGTTGTGATAGCAACCTATTTTAATTTTTTGTTCAGTGAAGTAACATTTTAATAAAAGTTGATTTTCAAGTTTAGTATTCTTTGAATCTTTCTTTCTTATAATTTTAAGTTCCAATTTAATGTGCAAATGCAATGAGAATCTATATGTTTACTCATTAACTCTAAACACTCTCGGACTAAGCTTGAATATAATTACATAATTAAACGAACTTACCTTAAGTGAAGTTCAATTTTAATTATATGAAGAGCTTAGTCCGAGATATAAATTTCCCACCCACCTCACTTAATAAGTTTGCGACTTATTAACCCACGTAAACAGTAGATTCTAATATTTACTCTAAAAAGAATGACATTCGAGAAGCGTTAGGTTGCGTTCGTGTTGCAACTTTTTTGTTTTAGATTACTCTAAAAGGACGCGTTCATCGAGCAAGGTGTAGACGATACTACCAAGTTATCTCGGACTAAGCTCTTCATATAATTAAAATTGAACTTCACTTAAGGTAAGTTCGTTTAATTATGTAATAAATCCTGTATTTATTCTTTGCATTAGTTGACACTTACGATAACTGTGGGACAAAATGCCCCATGGGTTATCTAATTCCGCTATCCCATTCCATTTACTTACGGAACCGAAACAAGGGAGAGAGAATATATTTATAATATGTGGTATATGTTTTTAATTTCTTTATAAAAGTGTGAATGTCTTTTTGTCACTGACTCAACAATGTTAATGTGTGAATGATCAGATTTTGACCTATTTAAAGAAATGATTATCATTTTTTCGTGTTTTCTTTTTGCCTTATGTCCCTTGCTCCAATAACGAATCAGAGACAACCTCATATTTTACCACATAACTCTTACATCAGACTTTAGTATATATGGATGATTGTGTTAGTCTGTCTTTCTTTACATGCTTTGTCGCTGTCTGTATTTTACTTTCTTAGAAATTATTGCTTGAATTGAAATACACCAGAAAAACCTACATAATATTATATGTTCCATATGAGTACAGTTCTCCTCTCATTATAAGTGGAAGGATTTTTGGGCTAGGAAAATTCCTTCATGCTTACTCCAATGTTTTTTGGCGGACTTTTCATGTCCTTGACATTTATTTTTATTTTTCATAAGTGCAAACTGCAAGCCTTACGATTTTATTCTTTAGGACCGACCAAGTAGTCAAACAGATCTTAAAATTGCAATTAACAAATGCATTGGCGGCGGGGATCTAACTCGGTTGTTCACATACTATAAAATAAATCTCAAGTAAATTTAATTAACATAAGCAAAACAATAAGTATCATATAACAAAATTATAAATCGTACCAGTGAGACTTTGGAGTCGATATTCCACTAAAGGACCAATATCTAGAAATTTTAACACTACCAC